TCTCATTCGTGCCTTCTGCTTCCTAGTTTCATACACGTAAAGATTTTGGAATCCCCATATCTGTCTTTAAAGATTTGCCTAACTGCTTCTTCAAAGCTTTAGGGCCTCTCAGATAAATGTACATAAAAGACATTTTTTAAACAATATTGACTCAAAAGGAAGACTGCAGGTCATGGTTTTCACTTCATGATTACTGAACTTTCCTGAAAGCTTTATTCCTCCATTGAGTCTCCCTCCAGGAAAACAAGGAACATTCTTTGCAATTCTAACACTTTTAAAGAATAACCTCCTTGGCTCAAAGAGAATCTTTTGATTATTAGTGACAAAAATGAATTATCCTAAAGCGAACTCTTTTAGATCCCGTTTTGTAGGAGGAAAACCTAATCTCATGCCCTAGAACATATCAGGTTAATGGCTAACTTGCTGCAAGGAGAGAAATAGGAAAAAGCAAAATTGCTAAATCTGCTGAAGAACTAATCAAGCATATTGTTCCCTTGATTCTAGAAAATTGCAATGAGCTTTTAGAAAGGTTGAAAAGATGTCCATGACACACTTTCATTTACTTTGTTGTAAATGTGTATTCCTCCTTCCCTGAGGTGTTGGTATTCCTAGGGGTGTGGGGGGATGGAGGTGCTGAAGATTATAGCTACTGGTGATATTCTGGTGTTCCCTGGCAAAGTTCCTGTCATTCCAAATAACAAATGGTTCCCTCTTCTGGGTGAACTTAAATTCCGTCCTTAAGCTGAGACAGCCCGGAAGGAATCACCACTGGTCTTATGTTTATTAAAATATAGTTGTGAGACTGAGGTATAGCTCATTACGACAGCACTGGCTTGGCATGCCTGAGACCCTGGGTTTGATCCCCAGCACTGCACAGTCAACAAGCACAAACAAAGCCAAACAACAACAACATTAAAAACTATAGAGTTGATCACGAGGGGCGCACACCTATAATCCCAGCTGCTTAGAGGCTGAGGCAGGAGGAACACAGGCTTGAGGCCAGCCTTTATAATTTAGTGACCCTATCTCAAGATAAAATAAAAAGGACTGGGGAGTGTGGCTCAGTGGCAGAGCACTTGCCAAGCATGTGCAAGGACCTGGGTTCAATCCCAGCACTGCAAAACAATCAAAAAACCTAGTTTTGAATTTTATCCTTAAGAAACCAACCACCTATGACCAGCTTAAGTATGTTCCAGAACTGGTGATGAATGCCATGGCTTCCTTTCTTTCCTTCATCTTTCCTTCCTTCTCTCTTTTCTTTGATTCCAAAAACTTTTAAAAATACAAAGAGTACAACAAATATCTTTATTTCCAGTATTCAAAAATGAGTATCTTTTTGTTGGGCCAGATTTGGCTTCCAGTATTGCTTCCTTTTAAAAGAAATCATTGGAGGGAAGAGGGAGGGGAAGTGCAATGAAATTAACTAAATTATGCTGTTATATTGTGTGCAGTACAAATAGGTAACAATGAATCCCACTGTTGTGTATAATTATAGTGCACCAATAAAAAGAAAAATTAAAAAAGAAAAGAAATTATTGATGAAACTCAATTTCTCTTTAACTATCACACCTGTTCTTTCCTTCACCCTCTACACCCTCTGCTGTCTACAACACCTGCCCCAAATTCTCCAACATAAACATGGTCTGTATTTGACCAGCCTCATATTTATACTTTTACCTACATACATGTGTTTTCTTAATGAATACATGCAATTATGTTTGTTTAAAATTTTCCTTTTATCAACAGCTGCCTCGTATTTAATCCTGTAAATACAGCACATTTTTCTTACCCATTCCCCTTTCTAGGTGCCTCTTAGATCATTCCAGGTTTTGTTATTCTAAAAACAAAACTTAATCTTTTTAATATATGTCTCCTTGTGCATATAATTTTAAGCCAAGTGCATCCCTCAGGAAGAATCAGTATGCCAGGGGATGTTTGTAGTATCACTTTCAGTAACTATAGTCAAGTTATTCCCTAGAATAATAATTGCTTAAAAATGCCCAAATTGTGGTTGGTTCTGCCAAAAGCAAACTAAAATATTATGCTATTCCCCCCCCCCCACATCTTGGACAACACTGAATTTTTTCAGTCTCTTTCATGTTCAGATGGAAGAAAAATGGAATCAATTATTTTAGTTTGCATTTTCCAACACTTTTTTTTTCTTTTAAAGAATGGACTTCTTTCTTTATGTCTTAATCTTTGTGATTTATTCTTTGAATCATCTTTATTTCTATTTATTTGTTGTGTTTTTCTTTTTCTTGATTTTAGGAGTCCCTTGCATATTCTGGTATTCACCTGTATCTTTGGTAGGGCTGACATTTGAGAAGATCATTTCTTCAGATTATTAGAACAGTTAAATTGTTCTGTTTCCAGATTTATTTTCATATATTATCAAGAAGTCAGGCCCATCTTTCTACCCCCAGTCGGTTGCAAATCCTTTTGGATCTACTTTCAAAATATGCTACATGGACCTGACCACTTTTCACTGTCCACTGTGCTACATTGGGTACCTTCGTTCTCCAGGGTTTGCAGGAGCCTCCTCAGTGGCCTGGTTCTTTAGTTCATTCTCACCAAAGACCTAGAGAGACCTTATCAAAGTGTAAGTCAGCTCTTTATTTACCTCTCGTGAGAACCATGTATTAATGGCTTTGCACTTTGCTGCCAATAAAAACCCAAGTTGTTATAGTGGCCCGAGAGGTCCAGCATACACCAGCCCCATGTCACAGTCACTGTCACTGCTCCTTCTCATCTCCCACTTCTCTCCTCTTGCTCTGGTCCCTGCTGTTCTCTAACACACCAGTGTTCTCATGCACTTTCTTTTCCCTTTCCCTGGAATTTATTTCCATCCAAAACCATCTATCTTTTTTTGCTGAATTCTCATTTAGATTTTTCCCCAGAGATGTTACCTCCCTGGAGATATTTTCTAACCTCCTTGCTTAAAAATGCAGCAATCGCTCTACACTGACTGACTGCCTTTGTTTCCTAGGGCTATAGTAACAAAGTATCACAGATTGAGTAGCTTACAACAACAGAAATTTTTTTGCCTCACAGCTCTACAATCTACAGGTTTGAAATCAAAGTGTCAGTAGGGCCATGCTCTCTCTGAAAACTACGGGGAACCCCCACCTCTCCTCTCCTTGGTTTCTGGTGGTTTGATAGTAATTCTTGACATTCTTTGTCTTGCAGCTACATAAGCCACGTCTCTGTCATCATCTGGCATCTCCCTGCATGTCTCTGTCTTTACTTATGGTTTGGATCTCTAGTATTGCCCTAAGGTTATGTTTTGAAAGCTTGGTTTCCAGAGCAGCAGTGTCTAGAGGTGATCTTACCTGGTTGGTGGATTAACCCATTTGATGGATTAAAAATAGGTGAGACATGGGTGGAGGAAATAAGTCATTAGGAACTACATGTTGTCCCTGGCCCCTTCCTCTCTTTCTGTCTCTATTTCTGTCTCTCTCTCTTTCTGCCTCCCAGCTCCAAGGAGCCGACAGCTTTCCTCTCTCACTTCCTTATACCATGATATTCTGCATCACCTTAGGCCCAGAGCAATGGAGCCACTGACCATGGATCAGTGAAACCTCTGGATCCCTGAGTAAAATAAGATTTTCTTCCTCCAAGTTGTTTGTGGTATTTTTGGCTACAGTGATAAAAGGCTGATGAATACACTTCATCTTTGCTTGTTATATCTTTAACAACTTTATTTTCAAAGAAAGTAAAGTTCCAACATACTGGGGTTAGGAACCCAACATTTTTTTTTTTCTGAAGTGCAGGGAAAATAATTCAACCCATAACACACATCATTTCCTTTCCTACTCTGTTTCTCCAGAGCACTTAGCACTATTTAACCAACCATATATTTCACCTATTTTTTTTGTCTATCTTTCCCCACCAGAATATAGACAGCATGAAGTCAGGATGTGGGGCTATGTTTATTGCTGTAATATATTAATGCCTGACCCCTTAATAGCATCTCAATAAACATTTGTCAAATGAATGCATTCACTCTGTTAAATTATGGCATTGAGCAGGCCAATTAACATGTTGTGGAATAAAAATAATTAGGTAAATTCACCCTTATACAAAATCCTACAGAATGAGTCAGTGTTTATTATTTTAATATTTTTTATTTCAAAGAAGGGCATCTGAAGGAAAAGTAGAGGTAGATATCAGAAAAGATAGGAGTGAGCTGACCAGTTGGGGGATGAGTATATCATCATTGAGTGATTTATGGGTAGTAAGATATCTTTGGTCCCTTTGTCATTCTTCCACTTATCCTTACAATTAAGATGGAAAAAGATTTTGCTTTGTCTAACATATTCTTGGAACTATGTATATACTATGTATATACTTTAACTCATTTAGAAATAATATATTCTTAAAAAATGTATCCCTTGCATATTATTATACCCATTTTTCAGAAGCAAAAAGTGAGGAACAACAAGGTTGAGCAGCCATGTAAGCCACAGAGATAATACATTACTAGGATCTAAATTCAGGCCAGTGAGACCAAAACCTGTGTTCCTTCCCTTGTCATATGACTTCAGATTCTACTGGGACCAGAATTTCATAGGAAAGGTTGTAAACTGACCCACAAATGATTTTTCAGACAGGTGATTTGGCATAGAACATCACTTTTGGTAATTACCCTTCTTACCAAAACTCATGGATCAACCTTATATTTTGGCACAATGGAAAGCCCTAGTGCCAGCCTGCCCAGTTCCTGAGAAGGGCCAAATGATATGGACAGGCCAGCCCTGGAATAGGCATCAGATGATAGAGAGTCAAGGCACCATTGTGTGGTCATGTGTGAATCACCGAAGGGCCTCTCAGCCACATCTCTCCTCTGCAGAGCAATGATGATGCTCATAAGAAATCACATGTGCCTTTATTCTGCCTTTTAAACAATATCTGTGCAGTCATACCAGCTCAGTTTTTGTAGTTTGTGGTTTCTGTTGAGTTCTCTGCTAAAATATCATCAAAATTTCTTGTTTGTCGTGTAGGTATCCTAGGACAACCTGCTGACCTTAACTCCTCTACAAAAAAATCTGTGCATCCAGCCACTGAGAACTCCAAGGAAGCAGCAGTAGTCTAAAAGGTAGTGTTTGCTTCATTTTAAATTTTTTTCAGAGGGTCTGACATAACTGAACTGCTACGGGCAAACTTATAATAGTAGAACATTCGTATGTACATATAAAATAGAACTTTTAAAATGGTAAAATTCAGGTCTAGATTCCCTTGGAGAATTTACCCTGTCTCGACTTCTATTTGTAGCTGCCATTTTAAAGTTGGAATATAAATATTATGTCAGTTAAATAAAAGAGTGATGACTTCACTTTATGAAAGAAAGCTTTGCCTTTGCTTTCCATGAAATGTAGCTTAACTGTTGCTTGATTGATATGCCATTATATCATCCTCACCCCACAGACAGTTACACATATTTAATAATTTTTATGTATAAAAAGTAAGGTTAAACAGTTACAATGTCAAGTTGTTATGCCTTATGGTGGCTTTGAGAATGATGGTGAAATTGAAATGAAATGAGTAGCACCAGGAGGCGGCTTCTGCCATGAGCCATGTCTCCTAAAATGGCTTGGGATCATTCTTGGTAAGAGGAAGTCCTAGTGGTATCCAGTGGGACAAAAGGCTGGATTTTATCAAAAGGTTCAAAAATCAGGTAAAATGATCTCTTGCCTTTATACATCTTTGAATGGTGACACTGGAAAAGTTGAATGTGTTTTTTTTTAAATAGCAATCAAGGAGAAGACATGCACTATTGAGGGTCAGAAAACAGTACTCCAAAAGTGTGAGTGTTGGCATGCTGAGTATTTTGAGCTGAAAGATGTTGGTAGGGCCTCAGAAAAAAAATCTTTTTTGACTGTATCCTATTCCCCTCTCTCCCCAGGCAGGCCTTAGATACTGGAACCCCTCTCCCTCAAAACCAGCCGTAAAACCTAGAAATGTTTACTCATAACTTTCCCCCAACATCTGTGTACGAGCTGGCCATAAAGAAATTCTCTGGCCTACCTTGTCGGTCATCCCAGAAAGGTCCTGTTTTGTACATGGGAAAAAGGAATGCCGCAAAGAAATACCTAGAAGAATTGAAACCCATAGGCTCTGCTGAGTTTCTTCTCTTTGTCTCTCACTGATAGGTCATTCCCATTTTGTCCAATCTCACTTCTATACAGCTGTCCATTTTCATCAGATCTTGGCATTAAAAAAGCCCAGTTTTCCTTGTGTCTCTGGGCTTTCATTTCTGAAGGCTCCTGTGTGGCATACAACATTTATTAGGTAGATTGGTTTATTTTTCTCCTATTAACCTGTCTTTTGTTATTTTGTTAGAGGAGCATTGGCTGTGCCCCTTATAATGGGTGTCCCATCTTTCTCCCCCTGCAGTACTAAGCTGATAAATTCCTCAGCATGGGGTCACTGGGCTGTGCTCATTTAATCCCACTTTTATATAAATACTCATATCCTTTTCCATCAGTCATTCTCATCTCTCCTCCTTCAATAGTGTGTCCCACTCCTGGGTCTTGGCAAACAATTTTGCATGATATATACATATTTATTATATGATATACATATATGTTAGCCTCATGTGCCAGAACACAATGATGTTGTGTTTTCTTTCTTGCTTCCAGTTAAGACCCAGTCTCCTGTAACCTGTATGCCTAACCATCCTTGACCTGCCTTCCTTTTTCTCTCATCCAATGGTCATCTAAAACCCATGCCAAGTTTATGAAGTCAGGCAAGACTGCACCTAGAATTTGTAGGATTGTGAGACATTGCTGTATCTTCTAGAAGTACTCACCAAGTTCAGGTTGTGTTGGGATGAGGCAGGTATCTTCACTTTCTAGTATGCCTGGCTTCTTTTTAGTGAATCATGTACCCATCTAGAGAGTTTCCCTGAAAATGTGAGAAGGTTTAAAAGTAGGAAATTCAATGAACTGAAATGGAGCATCCTAACTAGAGTCCTTGAATGGCATTATTTGATCTTTCTGTTATTATTATTCTGGTTAGTGTTTTAAGCCCTGAAGCAAGGCACTTTTTAAAGTGAAAGCTGTCAATACAAAATATATATCTGAAAGAGTAGGATTTGAACATCAGTAATTACTAGAAAAAAGAATTGTAGCTTATTTTCAAGTTTTAGAAACCTTTCTTATTCCTCCATACATAGAAAGACTTCTCTACTAACAATAAAGGGCATGTGCCTAATGATTTCAACTACTCCCATTTTTTAGATTTCAGCTGATCAATGGGAGATATCAGTCAACTCTCTTAGCCTCTCTGAACTCTGGTTTCTTCTTCCATAAAATGAGGCTAATTATAGGAAAGACCTCATGGAATGGCTATGCAAGATTAAATGATAATTTATGTAAAGTGGTTAAGAAGGTGTCTTGCAGGCAGAGGCTCTCAAGAAATGGAAGCTAGAATGATTATTATTAGAAGGAAATGTTCACTTACCAACTCTGTGTTGTTGTGGAAGGATTTTCAGTATTTTATTTCTCTTGGAATATTACCTATTGCAATCTGAAACTCTAAAAGTAAGGTAAAATAATGTGGCAAAGTACCATGTAGATATTTTTGATAGTCATAATTTTGTGCAAACAGCAATGCTTTGAGGTTAAATTCTGCCAATCTAAGAGCCACGTCTGAGTAATATTTTATCATTTAACTTTGTGCTGTGCTTTCATTTCAAATCCACCAATGTACTTGGCAAGATGATCAAGGAACACCTAATTCCAACTTCTATTTCTTAAACTAAAACCAAATATTACTAGATGAGGTAGTAGATGGAGGTTAAACATTTTTCAGAGAAGAGGTAGGAAATGCAAAGGAATATTTCCTTAATGTTTTTATTTGTTTCTACTTCTTTTATGGATATGTAAACTCTACTGGATTTAACATTCTCACAGATATCAACTGTAATATAGACCTCCCAACAAATATCTGGAGGCCCTAGGATGCTGGGAGCCATTAGCCAAGTAGGTATGACAATTTCCTTGCCAGCGTACCCCATGTTGCTGACATGTTGCAGCGACATTGAATGTAGGTGACCTTGCTCAAGGACCAAGGCAGATTAGGGTGTTCCCGGTTTAAGATAGTCGTGTTTAGGGCGTTCCCAGTTTAGGTTCCAGGTTTAAGGTTTAAGATTATTCCTGCTGGGAATAGGGCGTATCCTGCTGCCTGAGTTCCCCTTGAGTTCTCACGGGATTCAGACAGTATATTTTGGAGATAGAAGCCCAGTGGAGGTGAATTTGGGCAGAGAACGTGGATTTGGGCAGAGAACGTGGATTTCCCCAGAACGTGATTGTAGACGGCTGGTGTGAGTTCGGGAATAAAGAGTTGCTGTTTGAATCTACAAGCTGTGTGGTGGCTCGTGATTGTGTGCCCAGCCAGACTGCGGCATTTGTGCCCAGCCAGACTGTGGCACTAGAAAGTAAAAATAAGAAGACAGATTACTTGGGGGAGTTGAAATTCAAAACTAAGAAGTAAGTTTTTCATTTTACAACTTTTAGACTGAGACCAGGCTGAAGTTAATGTCACCTGGGATGGCTAACCCTCAATTTAAAAACCTGTATAGAGTCTTTGAGGTTTGAAGACCCAAACAACAGAATTCAGGTAACATAGACACTGAAAAATGAGTTTTGAATCTGTTGAAGAAGAGAGACAGAGAAGAGAAGCTCCTTCATCTGTTTATAAACATTAACCAAATATTTGGCCAATACCTGAACCATGTATTCAAGAGCAGATATAAGTTAGCACAGTTAAAAATTTAAAAACTGAGTTGAATTTGACCTGCCATCTGAGGTGATTTTCAGTTTGCATATAACTAAATTAATTGCCTGCTAAAATTCTTCTGAAAACTAAGGCAGAATTCAGAATTTCTTCACAATAACATTTATATAGTCATTGATACAACCCCAACTTACACAAATATGAGGGAACAAGAAAATGACCAATTTTTTAAATATTTATTTTTTAGTTGTAGTTGGACACAATACCTTTATTTTATTTATTTATTTTTATGTGGTGCTGAGGATTGAACCCTGGGCCTTGCACATGCAAGGTGAGCACTCTACTGTTGAGCCCCAGCCCCAGCCTGAAAATGACCAACTTTGCTTTTTATCTATTTATTTATTTTGGTGCCAGGGATTGAACTCAGGGGCACTTGACCACTGAGCCACATCCCCAGCCCTATTTTTGTATTTTATTTAGAGATAGGGTCTCACAGAGTTGCTTAGTACCTCTCCATTGCTGAGGCTGCCTTTGAACTTGCGATCCTCCTGTCTTAGCCTCCCTAGCCGCTGGAATTACAGGCGTGTGCCACCATGCCCGCTGGAAAATTACCAATTTTGAAAAGACAAGTATAAGACACTGATTCCAAGATGACCAGGCTGTTGGAGTTAGTGAGCAAAGAGTTTAAAGTGGCTGTGATAACCTTGCTTCATGAAGATTATGAAAACATACTCACAATGAGTAACATGGTAGTAAATAGCAAGTGAAAAAAAGAGAGAATTTTAAATTGAGCCAATGCTGCTGCCCCAGATGCTGCTATCTTGCTGGAGGTCTCTTCTCTGGGCACCGCCATGGTAACCTTGGAGGCAACTTCCGTGGCTATCTCCATGGTCGCAGCTGCTGCACGGAAGTCTCCTGTCAATCATCTGCTGCCTGCACCACTATTGCCATTGCTACTGCCTCTGATTCCGCTGCTGCCAGCTTCAGGTTGCCTGGAGGTCTTCTTTCTGGGTGCTGCTGCCACAGAAGACATCTCTGCCCCAAATGTAACTAAAGCCAACACTGCTGCTGGAGATTGCGTGGTGACACTGCCCCCACAGCTGCAGCTGCCACTACTGCTGACCCCCTGCCTGCCTCCAACAACCACCGCCACTACTGCTGCTACCATAGCCTAGAGGACTGCTTCAGGGGAGATTATAGGTTTGGTCGCATGTGGCTGCACCCATTTTGGGACACCAGCCAAGAGCCTGGGGCCCAAGTGACAGCAGGTTTACTACCACAAGAGCCTCTGTCTGGGGACTCCAGCAGAGACCTGCAGGTCCAATGTGGGGGTGACTGTGGCTTTGGAGGAGCCTTGGG